TGTAATATCACATTATGTAACAAAATAATGTTATGTAACAAAATCCAGTTCACAATATTTCACTAATTAATCGTAACATTTTTCGCAAAAAAATACTCAAATTTGTATATTAAAGGCTCTCGAAATGAGAAGGCAGAGTATGTTTGTTGCGGTAAATTTTGAACCTTCTTTCTCTTAAAACATTTATCTAGCTAATTTATTTTTAAGAAACTCAGACCTAAAAATATGTTGGTTGTATACCTTCTTTAAACAAATAATGTCCAAAATACCACTTAATTTATATATAGAAATTTGCAAATTTTCATTTTAGCTGCTCTCTAGATATTGTAGGGTAAAGTTGAATATATTCGACATTACTATAAACAAAAATTTATAACTGAAAAACAAAATAGTTACAATTTTTAATTATTGTATAACAATCTCAAATTTGTGCTAATACTGCAAAATTCGAAAACAATGTGTTGCAACACTGTATTCATATAGAAATTCCTTGGGATTGAATGTATACGCATAAAATTATAATATAAAGCTAACCCTTATTCAAAGTTACTATTCTAATGGAACATTAATAGGAATACGTAAGAAAAAACAATATTACCAATTCTACTTCCACCCCATTTATTCATCTTATATAATTGCATTTTATATTGAAGCAAAATAAGTAAAGCAGTAAAAGAAATCATTTTTATTTAAGGGTAACTTTTAATCAAATATCTGCGTACCTGATTAAGCTGTAATTAGATTAAAATTTAATGTTTTATATACGTAATATTTCATTATGCATTCTATATAAGAAAAATAGAAAATTCTTGTCCAATTCAGAAAAATAATATAGAACTATTTTCTAGGAATTTTTCATTAAGAACAAAACGTTTGTCAAATTAATTTTTGTTTTAAAATTTTCTTTATGTATACTGAAGAAATTAAAAATTTATACTTAAAAAATATTTTAAGTTAGAAATTTCAAAATGTTGGAAATATATACATACATATATGTACTTTATTATTGAAATAAAGAAACGCTCCATTATTGACATTAAAACATCCAAAGTATAATAAAACATCAATATTGACAGGACGACATTACCTATATTTTGACATATTCAAAAACGAAAAACCGAAAATAGTGCAGGTACTTTTACTTTTAATTTTACAAAAAATATAATATAAAATATAAGGCAAAACGTATAGGGAAAATAACCGTCAAACCTTCAGAACATTTTTATAAACACAGAATACATATAACGTATATAAAGAAAACTGGGCTATAATTATGTTCATATACAAAATGCTGCTAATCTATTTTGCTTAAACATTGTTGAATTATCAGCAGCACAATGAGATTATCGTGAATCATATGAAGTGTTTTGTTTTTATAGAATTTTTAACAATATATTGCATATCCATCACATTATGCTCTCGCAGTATTGCGTTTCGTAATCATTATTTTGAAATACTGCGATTATAAAAAATTTTTATCTTCGTTTTTGCTTCTATTTAACAGTATTATGACACAAAAGAGTTTTTGTTTTACAAACTACTTCTGAATGCTTCGTTGCAATATGTATTCCAGTAAAAAGAATGCAATCAAATATTACCCTCAGAAAGTTATAAATTTCATTTTTCAAATGACATCTTCCAAATGTTATTTTGACAAATAATTTACTAATATACATGAATAATGAAACGTGAAATCAAAATTATAATGTCAAAATTGTAATTAATCAAAAAAGTGCAGAAAAAAAATTATAATTAAAATTGCAACAAAAACTGGACCTATCAAATATATTTTACTTACCATTCCTGTTACAAACACATTTATGCGCATCTTCAATACGACATTACATGAAATTTATTTAATTAAGAAATATTTATGCAATTTTTTATGTAATTTTCCATTTCGAGAATTCAAAATATTAATTTCCCTCATGAGTTTTAAATCTTGTATAGTTTCTGTATGGTAAACTTCTATAATAATTTTTGTTACAAAAGCATAAACATTACCATTAAACATCAGTCAATCTGTTTTATGGCTATCAACATAGGAATACTTACAACCAAAAAAAAGGGGTTGTTTAAAGGCAAAAAAAAAAATTTATATTTAGATATTTACCGCACTCAAGCACACTTCAAACAAATTTTTAAGGTAATCTTTTGAAACTTTGGTGCACACAAGACAAATAAGAACACTTCAATGGAAAAAAAAGACTTCTGTTAAATCAAGTTTCACATTGCAACATTATGGTGCTTGAAAACGAAATTCCAAAGTCAAGAAGATTCTTGTAAACCACTCCGTTTAAGGAAAGCAGATTTTTCTTTTTGTTATTTTGAAGAGGTTCTTATCCTTTTTTTTATTTTCATTTTATATAACATTTTTTCTTTATTTTTACAATATTGATTTTAGAGATATGGCGGTGTTCCTGGGAATTTTTAAGGAATAATATATGTGCGTATGTATGAATCTAATAGAGAATGATGCAATTGAATTATGATTAACAAACGATTTGAAGTTGATTCATTTATATAATATTATTCTGGAGAACATTAAATACATACATGTATACGCACAAATAGAAAGAAAAGGACATTTACCAGATTTTTTTCTATAAAGCATAATATACGTACAAATATATGCACTTACTCTTAACATTAACAATGCTTCTTTTTTTTTTTTGTTGTATATAAAAGATGTTTTATTGTCATGTTGAATACATAATAAGTGGGTGTCAAATTATTATGATGAAAAATTGGAAAAGATTTTTAGCTTGCAATTTAGAACAATTTTATTTTATTACTTTAATGGTGGTTTACTGCTGATTGTTAACGTGACACTTTTTTTAAATTAGCTCCTTTATACTTAGTATTTGCAATATAAGGGTAATTTGAAGTTTATTTGAGCATGGTATATATAAAGAAAACACAAAATATAAAAGTATAATATGTATATAAGTGTATAATAATATAATATTATAATATTTTATATAATAATGTATATATATATGTATTTATACGTATTGAATATCAATTTAAAAAATTTGCTTTTATTAAGGGATAAAAATTCGACGAACAATAATCCTTAAGTCAAACAGAGATCATAAAATAATTCAATATTTAAAATAAATTATTCCATTTATATAATTTCAGTTTTGAATTTATCAAGTTACAAAGAATAAAAATTGAATTTTTATCTAGGTTTATCTTACACTTTAATTGTTCATATACGCAAATATACGTTCCTCAAATTATTCGTAATAATCAAACTTTGCCTATTAATTTGTATGCGTTATAATTTGATTCAAAAATTAAGTATATATTGTAAATTTAATTTAATATACCCTTAAATATTTAGTGTATAATGCAATTAATCCAGAAGGGCCTTAAATGTTAGCTATCGAGAAGTTTGATTAATCAACAATTATTGAATAATTTCAAACCTTAAAAATCAGTAAATTTATATTTTTAAGAAATATTTCATTCATATCAAAGTGTTCATTTAAAACAAACTATAATCGGGATAATTGAATTCAACTAAAAAATTCCTAATATGCCACTAAAATCTGTGCTATATCAATTTCAAGTTCCAAATAAACAAGTATTCAATCTATACAATCTATACTTCCACCCGAATCTTATCACTGATTCAGAACACTTTTCCTAGTCTACTTTTAGGGATAAATTTCAAACTATCACAAAAATGTCTCTGTCTTTTTCTTTTGAAAATATAGTTAAAAATATAAAACTAATGACACCCTCTTCTAATAGGTCTATACTATACACAACATGATGAAAAACAAAAATTTCACAGATAAAGCTTAGTTTATACAACACTGCGATTCGATTAAAAATAGACTTTGCGTTAAAACATTAAAAAAAATGGTAGGCAAGCTTTTCAAATACAAAATGAGTTGAAAACAGCTGTACGACAATATTACGTCAACTTAAAGATAACAAAAAAATTTTAGTTACTTTATAGCTTGCTTAATTAGTTGAATTAACTGACCATGACTTTCAATTTATAAGTTTTTGTCAAATTTTCTCTAAAATTTATTAAAAGCTTTATAATTTTTTTCATAATATTTGCACACACACACAGATATATCTATATCATATGGTGATATCGGAAAATAAACAATTTTTTTTTGACAATATTTTTGTATTTAATACGCAGCTAGTAATCATATGGGAGTCAAAATTATATTAATGTTAACATTAAAACTGCGTATGTATTTGTAAACAATCTTTGCGGACGGCGATATTTTTTTTGGGGATTACATTGTAATGGAATAATATACGTTTGCAATATTAAATCATTTTAACTGAACACAGACAATATTATGCTGCTGTGAAATTCGAAAATCAGCAAATTTAATTAAGAAGTAGTACAGTAAAGCTGTAATTTAAACGCCACGGAAGATAAAAAATGATATTATAGCAATACTAAATTTTTATATCGTAAATACTTAAATAGCTTTTCATGCATAATACCGATTTTAAATCAAATATTAAGAATGCCAGTTGTCTTATTTTGCAGAAACGTGTAACTTAAATGAGTTATTATGCCTTCGTTTGGCCACCAGATCCTTATTACTCTCTAATAAAATTCACATCGCTCCTTAATAATTTTCTGAAAAATAATATTCCGTAGGAATTTTAGCAAAATAAATATGTATTAACAAGTTCTTAATTCCTGAAAATTCTTCAGATATTCCTAAATATTGAAGCTGTGTTGAATGCTAGTCATATTCTAAATCATCTAAATGATTTAAGATAATTTAAGATAATTTAATAAAAGCTTTTTATAAACCTGTTATTCCTGCTATTTGAAATAAATAATAATACAATACAAAAATATTATAAAATTTGTTTACTGAACTTTTAGAAAGAATGAATTCTTTATATTTCTAGAACTAGGTTATAATTCTGATTAAAACAGAATGAAAACAGAATTTTTTTTTGCTTTCTTAAAAGTTTTTTAACTCGAATATTTAATTGCTTCAAATCACACAGCGAAAATTTCTTAAATCATATAATTTACATTTTACATATAGCATTGGTTATGTTTTGACAAGAATTTTTTCATAAATTTACAGCATTAGTTCTTGATTAAAATACAAAAATAAAAATTTTTCTTCACTTAACTTCTTATAAATCAATAAACTTGAACTTCAATGGAATGTTCGGAATATTAATCACATTTGATCTGAATAAATTGTCAACTGGATAATTAAATTCTACTTTGAAATTTCGAATAATTTTTGATAAAGCAATTTCCAATTCCATATCTACAAGCCGTTTACCTACACACATTCTTGGACCAAATCCAAAAGGTAAATATGTAAAAGGATTAGAAGATCTTCCTTTGCCACCTGAATATGGACATCCGTCTTCCATTTCCCGAAGCCATCTTTCTGGAATAAACTTCGAACTGTCAATGAAATGTGAATTATCTTTATAAAGTAATGTAAAAGGCATGAAAACTTGTGTATTCTTAGGTATACGATATCCTCCTAAAACTAATGCTTCTGGTACTTGGCGAATATTTCCAGCTGTAACAGGATGAATTCTCAAACCTTCTTTAATACATGAACGTAAATATGGTAAATTTTTTAATCTTTCACTAGTCATTGGAGTATCTTTTTCTGGTAAAATATTTAAAATTTCTTTTCTAAGAATTTCTTGCTTATCAGGATTTTTAGCTAAAGATGCTAAAATAGCTGTAAATGCTGACGAAGTCTAAAAAAATCACAATCAAAATTAAATATAATATAATTATTAATATTAGATTTTTTATGATTTTACCGTGTCAACACCAGCGAAAAGAAGATCCATAGCCATAGTTATTCCAAATTTTTGATCCATTTTTGAAAGACGTTCTAAAACACTTCTTTCACTCAAATCTCTGTCATCAACTTTATTATTTTGCAATCTCATGTATGCTTCTTCAGCATATTTCTGTGTTATATCTGTCAAAGTGTCCATAGCTTTAATAAACTTATTATATTTTGGCGTTGCAACATATTTCCATAGAGACGGTTTAAAATCAAGATCAAATACTACATCAAAAAATACTCTCAATGCTTCTTTAAGTTTTAATGCATCTGGATGCTTTGACGGATCTTTTATTAAATTTAATTTAGTATCCAAAGCCACAACACAAACCGATTCTAAAGTCCAATTAGTTATAATTTCACCAAAATCATCAGGCACTTCTAGTGTAGACGGATCACGGATAAGACGAATTCTGTGTTTATAAGAATATCATAAAATTAATATGAGTTAATTAAATAGGCACTAATAAAATATTCACTTTTCAAGAAAATCTGATGCAACATCATTCATACGATTAACATAAATTTTAATCGTTTTTGGTTGCATAAGTACTGGATTTGCAATACTTCGTAGTCGACCCCATTCTTCACCAAATCTAAAAACAATAATCAATATTATCGTAATTTGTTATAATGTTAAAACAAAAAAAAAATTACGATGTTGTTAATCCTTCTGCTCCTTCATAAATATCTTTTCGTAAATCTCTTCTATAATGACTCATAGAATCTAATCCAGGTCGATTCGGCCAAATTCCTTCATGTCGAAATACTTTTCTAAAATCATCTGGATCAAATGTTAAAACCAAATCTTTTTTTCCAAATAATCCTGGTATTACTAGAATTTCTCCAAAATTATCATGTAATAATTTATGAAAAACATGAAGTGGTTTATTTGCAACAAGTCCTTAAAATTGAATATATGTATAAGCAATCAAAATATATGTATATGTATATTCTAATTATAACAAGTACCTCCTGGTAAGAACCATTTAATTAGTTGTAATTTTGTCGGTCGTGGAAGTTCTTCAAATGGTTTTGCCGCATTCCATTCATTTTGAAAATCTGTCAAATTTTCATCTTCAGTTTGTTTCTTCAATAATAAATAGTGAAATTAATATTAATTAAATTTTATATTATAAAATAGAGTCCAAATAGGAAATAACATTCTTGTCAAAGAAGGCTTTGTTTCAATTCGATTATTAATAATAAAGAGCGAATACTTCAAAAATTGAGTTCATATGAAATTTTTGTAATAACTTGTTTTAACATTTTGTTGATGTTCGATATTATGAGACGATTTCTCAGTTTTCACACATGTATACTACTTTAACGTAGAGGTATACATACAGGAAATAAAAAGCAGAGTAATTAATGAAAGTCTAATTATTATTGTTTACTCTATGTAAGTTTTTTCATAGCCATTTTTTCTTGTTGTTTTATATTGGATATGAAAAACTGGTGAGAATATAATCAAATTTAAAATTTCAATTCTAACATTCACAATCTCACAATCTAATTTATAAACCCCAGAAAAACGCAAATCATACATTTGCTTTAAAATTATTTTAATAATAATAACAGTAAACATACTGAAATCTTATCAACATTACTCCGATATGATATCAATAGAACAACTTACTTATATAAATAAATTTTCTTCACTAAAGTACACTTGCTAAAATTTCTTCTGAATCGTTTCTACATGGAATCTTTGTTCAATATAACCAGTTCTTTTAATTGCAAATCGAAGAATAACTTCATATTATATAAGACGCAAATAAGCATCATACAAAACTTGTATTTTGTTGGCACGCAAATTGAAATTCAGATTTGTATATGTATTTGTTATAAGATTTTCTCTTGCAATTTTACTCCAGATTATAATACTTACTTTTATTGCAGCCTGAGCCGATAATAATCTTTTAAAACTAAAGCCATTTGCACTGTTTATAAATTTATACTCGAATTTTAAATTGCTTAATAATTTTGAACTATTAAGCATTTTGTTTTTTTTTGTTTTATTACGGTTTTCAACTTGTTATGAAAAGTAACGATTTGATACTAATTTTTATAGTTTGAAATCAAGTGTATAACCAAGAGTTATTTCAAAATTAAAAAAAAATTAATGACGCAATCTTAAAAGCTTTCATTAAACTTCCTATCATTGTAATAATTTTGACCATATATGTATGTATTAAACATATGATGATAAAATTATTATACTTAAAACTTTCGACTGAGTTGTTTTATAAAAATTTTATTCAATTTTCAACTTTCTTATCATGGTTTTCGTGTCTCAAGATATGTAGAAAGTTTATGTTTCGTTTGATGAGAAATCTTAAAGCAAAATGCGATTGTTAATGATGAAATTAATAGGCGTGTATGGCGAATTCGCAATCTTGTCGAATTTAGATGTGCTGGCGAATTTACTAGCATCATTTTGTTATTATGACTAGATTTATTTGTCAAGTTTTTTTATGCCATGGGAGTATTTTCTCTTTTTATACTAAACTATCACAAATATAATTTTTTATACTTTGCAAAAATTCGCGTTTTGAGCCAATTTAAAAAAAATCAACTTCATACTCAACAATTCATTTATGGCTTCTTTACACTAAACAAAATAGATTCATGAAACACCATGTTCTAGATGATTTTATTTTATATTATATAAACTAAATTTGGTATAAAATTTTTAATATCTCACACTTATTTCTTCATTTTATGTGATACTAAGATAATGATTACTACCAAAATACTATTCAATATCAATAAATTTAAATTTCAATGGTACATTTGGAACATTTATAATATTAGTTTTAAAGAAATTCTCATCAGAATAATCAAATTCAACTTTAAAATTTCTTATAATTTTAGACAATGTAATTTCGAGTTCCAGATCAACAAGCCTTCTTCCAATACACATTCTTGGTCCAAAACCAAAGGGTAAATAAGAAAATGGATTTGTTGATTTACCAGAACCATGCGAGAAAGGACATTCATCATCAACGTATTGATCTTTACGCAAAAATCTTTCTGGAATAAATTTTCTGCTTTCAACAAAATAATCTTCATCTTCATATAGTATTGCAGTTGGCATAGCTATATCAGTATCTTTTGGTATCCTATATCCGCTTAGTACCAAATCCTGTCCAGTTGTTCGAAAGTTACCAACCGTTACTGGATGAATTCTTAAGCTTTCCTTAATACATGCTCGCAAATATGGTAAATTACACAAATTGGAATTTGTTATTGGTGTATCTTTATTTGGTAAGATTTTCAAAATTTCCTTTCTCAATTTTTCCTGTTTTTGTGGATTTTTAGCTAAGCACAATAAGCAAGCCGAAAATGCTGAGGTTGTCTAAAAACAAAAAAATTCTTCAATCCTTAAAATAACAAAATATGCAATTGTGTAAAGCTCACGGTATCAATTCCAGCCAACATTAAATCCATAGCCATCGTTATAGCAACTTTTCTATTAATTTTCAATAATTTTTCTAAAACACTTTCTTCTCTTTTACCAGAATCTAAGTCCTTTTTATTCTTTAATTTTTCCATAGCTTCATCAATATATTTTATAGAAATATTTGTAACATTATCGAAAGCTTCCATCATTTTATTAAAATTTTTCGTTGGAAAATATTTCCAAAATGATGGCTTCACATCCAATTCATAGAGCATTTCAAAAAAAACTGACATTGAATCCATTAAAAGTCTTGCGTCTGAATTACTAGATGGATCCGATAACAAATTTAAATTTTTATCTAAAGCCACAACGCATACTGATTCCATAGTCCAGCTATTAATCACTTGAATAAAATTTTCCGGAACCTCCAAAGTTTTCTGATCACGTATTGAACGTATTCTGAAAAAAAATATCAGTAAAATATCAAAAATCATATAGCATACTCTGATTTACTTCTTAATAAATTGTGATGCTACATTATCCATACGATCAACGTAAAATCGAACGGTTTTTGGTTGCATTACTACAGGATTTGCTAGTGTTCTGATTTTAGCCCACGGTTCTCCATTCCTTTAGAAAATAAATTAAAAACATTAAAACAACTGATATTCCATATAAAGCTTATAAAATTATACACAGCTGTTAATCCTTCAGCTCCTTCAAAAAGTTCTTTCTGTTTTATTATTCTATAATATGCAATAATATCTAATCCACGACGAACAGGCCAAGTACCTTCAGTTCGAAATACTTTTTCAAAATCGATAGGATCAAATGTTAATACAACGTCACGTTTTCCTAGAAATCCGGGCATTTTTAATATAACCCCATATTCCTTATACATCAGTTTATGGACTTTTTGAAGTGAAATGTTGTGATATTTTCCTGGAATGTAATTAAAATGAAACCCATTTTGTAAGTATAATTTGCAATCATTAATATCATTATAATTTCAAACCTCCAGGCATAAACCACCTTAATAATTGAACTCGTGTTGGCCCCGGGATTTTTTCATATGGCTTTGCTGTTTCCCATTCAGTTTCAAATTTTGAATTTAAATTAGTTTCGTTGTGATTCTCAACTAATTCCTTTAAGTAAAATAATTACAAATAATTTCTAAAACTGAAGTTTTTGATTGCCTACATACTTTTAATGCTGCATGTGTTGCCATTTTACATCGTAAATCAATTTTATGCCACAAGAAATCTTCTAAACTTTTTTTTGAAAAGGAAATGCCAAATTTTTTTATTAACATTTTTATAAACTTTTTCAGTATATTACTAAAATTATATGCAAAAATATATTGAAAAATTATTATGCGTTTTCAAATGCTTTACGAAGCTCAAACCAACCGCAACTAAATCTATATTAATATAAAAATTGAATTTTAAAATTAAATTCAAAAATCTTTAAATAATTTTTAACCCTAGACAAATAAAAATGGAAATGATATGCTCTTCTAGCTACAGATTCCGCCGTAAGTGAACTGTTAGAATACTAGATCTCGTATATGACATATATGTAGAACTTTACATGACAATTCATATTGAAAGAAAATATTCCAGAAAAAAATTATTCCAATTTCAATTTCGATTTTTTTGGCCCTTCTTACCGACCGCACTGCATACAATAAGAGAGGTATGTGATGATATCAAATTTCGGATGTCAAGTTTTCGGTGGGGAAACGTAAATAAATTATTTTTGAAGAGATGTCGATCTCTCGTTCTGTCTGTGTATGTGTGTATTTCAAGTTCGGCTGAGCTGATTTTGATGAAATCTTATAGAATTGATCGAATTGATCAACTATTGGAAAATATCACACCTCGCAAATTGAACATTTTTTGCGGGACATTTTTTGAGGACAATTGTTTATATTTATAAACAATTTATAAGGAACGCATTGATGGAATTTCTTGAAATTTAATATTTGAGATCTGCCTATTACTGAAACTAACTGTGAGTTTTCAGGGAATTTTAATGTCAAAAAACGAAAATCTGCTTAAAGCCATACCTTAAATTTTAATTTTTCTATGTATGTTAGCTAAAAGCTTTCCAACTTCCTTAAAATTGAAAGGAAGTGTTCAAAATGCACTTTCATAATCTTCTGTAACACTTTCACTAAACTAAAAAATACACATTGCTGTAAGTTAAGTGCTATGACCATATCAAATTTTTTTTCTATTTTTTCTATCATTATAACACGATTGATGAAACTTTTTGAAAAGGAAACTAAATTGTATTCTCTTATTGATTTTATTTTTGCATTTAAATAAGAAAGAATTTACAATTACCCATGACATTCAAACTATTTTTGGATATGTAAAATAATTTATTTTTTTTTTTTTTTGAAAATTATAATTACATAATGACAATACTTTAAAAATTAATTTATGCTCCAACAAATTACGATATTAACATAAAGTTTTCAAGTTCATTCGTCAAAAATGTGACTATCGGGTTTCGCTGAATTTACACATTATTATGGAGAACAATGCACCTTCAATACATTTCTAAATGAACAACCTAATTAAATAAAGCCTAAATATAACAAACACATTTTTAGCTCCCTACTACAATGTTTCGTTACAGAAATATCTTTACAAATATAACCTGAATAAAAACTGATAAATATTACAAAATTATAAAATATATTTAATAAAAATAATATGATTGAATGACTTTAGAGTTATCGCATTAACTAAATCAAAAATAAATTTATTAAATTAGGGAACTCACACTATAGCATTCTTTTACTTTAAAACAGATTATTGCTCTTATAATACTTTTCTTTTATTCAAAATTGGTATACAAAATATATAACAGCCCCACCATATTCCTAACTTTATTTTATTCTAAATTAAATTTATTCTAAAAAAATATAATATTATTTTACCTTAGGCTATAGCACAACAACAAGTTCATTCATTATAAAGTATAATTATTGCTTTTTGTATAAAAGTATGTAAGTATGAAAATAAAAACAGTTTTCTATTGTTCTTTTGTAAAGCTTTGTTACACAAAAGAACTAAATAACAAAAACTTAAAAAAAAGTACATAGGAAAATTATCTGTTTCTAAGCTCAGAGGACTATTTTAAAAAATAAATAAGATAACCATGTCATCAGATTCTTTATATTAGGTAAAAGAATCGTACTGACATTTATTTGTAAAAATTTTCTAATATTAAATACAATATATGTATAAATACACAATATATATATATGTATACAAGGTAAATTTAAATAAGAATGTGTATATGAAAATGTAATGTAATAAAAATTGTAATATTGTGAATTATAAGGTAAAATAATAAATTGTAAAGTTTAAATTTTATAGATAAGTAACAATATTATTGTATAATGTTATACAAATTAGTTGAACATGGTATTATTACAGAAATATAAGTATTTCCTGGATTATAACAAACTATCAAAAAATTTATGGTTAATTGATCGATGGTTTAAAGTATCTCATGCGTCCGAACTAGTCGATAACTCAAAAAACACCATCATTCTACTTGCAAATAATCATAAACTAATTATGTTAATAGCAATAAAACGCTAGCAACAAAAACTCGTATACATTTTAGAAAACTACAACATTTAAAACAGAATCAATGACTTTGGTATGGAAATTAAGTATAGCCAATTAAGTGCAACCAATAAATTTTTACTAAAATACTAATTCAATTTGATTAGCTAAAAAAAGACTAAGTTTTACAAATTTCTTATCCATGGCCAAAAGCAAAATATCTTAAAACGTAATGTATTAAAAATTATATTTAAGTGATTAATTTCCTATTTTTTGTTTTTCTCATCCTTTTTGGCAGAAAACAAAATTTGGAAAAATAATACGGGCTCAAATTTGATATCACATATTTCATACTAAATAAAATATCAACTATTAAGCCTTTTCTTTATCAAAACTTAAAACTCTTTAATATTATACAAAAAAAAAAAAAGAAAAATACCATCAAAAGATTATTGAGAACCTGAAATTCAGGCTAACAAACATATATCTTAAATAATCCTATTTAGAAAATGTCACATTTTTATTATTTCTTATCTCAGAAATTAGGACAGGAGTTTCTGTATATACCTATAAACATTTACACACAATCTAAACTCTATCTGTGTATATAAATATATTTTTTTTTGTTTTAAACCAGCAGACATTTAAAGAAAGTGCAGAAAAAAAGCTATTAATCGATTTAAGAGAACAAAATCCAAAAAAAAAAATCAAAAGTGAAAAATAAAAACTTAAAAAAAATAAATTCGGATACTCGAAAGTAGCACATTTTTCTTAAACAAATTTAAATATTTTTTTTAAATAAATTCTACATAAATTATTTTTACTGGTATACCACCACATTATATGATGTTATAAATAATTATTGCATAGTTTTAGGATGATATCAAAAATTAAAAAGAATTATTAAGGTAGTGGTCGAATTCGACGCCTTATTACACGAGTTAAGATAAAATATAATTATGGACTTGATCGTCTATCTCGCCATTTTACTCGGAAAGGGAGAAGATTGTGAGTAAGAATTATTTTGTATTGAGTTTTTCTCCAAAACGCATACAAAATTTATTCACTTAGTTTTTGAAAATGAGAGGTTTAGTCAATAATTTAAGAAAAAATGCAAAAATCATAACAAATTTAGTAACCCTATTGAAAAATTGAAAGATCCATTAGAAGATACTGGAATTCTGATTTGAAAGTGAATAAAAAGTGAGTAAAACAGCGAAATACCCGATCAGGCTGTATGTTTTTTTAAAGAAAAACATTTACCGCATATTGTTCGCAAGGCAGCGGGCAATTTTCCCACTTTTCTATAGAATTTGAGAAATGATTGCGGTTTTGAGAAAATAAATGGGGACTTTTAGAAATTTGTAGGACAATATTTTTTATAAGAGAGAAGTTAGGTAAAAATTTTCTTCTAGAAAAATAAGTTTCTCAGTTTAGATCCATTTTTTTTGTAAAATTTCAACTATTTACTTTAAAAAAGTGAAAGTTTTGCATAAATAAACCCACGGACGAACCGTCGGACGCACAAAGTGATACCATAAATCAATTTTTTTTTCCAGTTTTGTTGAAAATGTGCTAAAAAGCAATAGGTAATAAATTCATTTTTTACATTTAATTTTTTTTTTTTGCTACAACACAAAATATCGGTAAGAAAATAAGAAATATTAACACATTCGCATGCACTGCATGCATATACACACATTTACAAATACATACATCTTTAATTTTTCACAATATATAGGTATATTTTTTTGTTCAGTTTATCTAAATTTTTTTTTATAATAAATGTTAAAAGAAAGGAACAAAAAAAAAACAAGCGAAATCTCCATATATGACTTGATATCCTTTTAAATCTCCAACATTCATGTTAGGATAAATATCTTTCCGCACCACTTGGTGTCCTAAATCTTTCAATGCCTTTTTTTGTATCGTTTTTTCCTAATTCTTATAGGGTAGAAAATTGCAAAAATTTTATTTTTTCTTCCCAATATATAATATATAAAATAGTTTCGATGATCATCATACAATTATGGTTTAAAGGTATTTTTTACATTCACATATACATAAAAATATCGAAACGAGTGTGTACGTTATTTATAAATGTTGATAAGTAAAAATGTTTATAAATTTTAGTCAATATTTATAAATCTAGATCTATTACATATATGTATATATACAGAATGTGAGACGCCCATTGGGACTCTTGAAGCAGGCTGATAGAATACGTCAAGACTAAAAAAAACACCAAGTGACATTCTCCTTTTTCGACTCTACTTTTACGTTATGAACTGTAAAATTTAACCGTCAAGGTCTCACATTTCTATTTATAACTCGAGAAATGCAACAGACAAGTTCAAATTACAGTCAAAAACTGTTTTCTAGCACATTTTCCTTTAAATTTCGTTCACTCATTTTTACGAAAAGTGTTATGTCTGGCATTCTAATCTTCTATCAGACATTGAGATCAGAACATTAAAAACTGTAATAAAACATGTTAATATTGTACATCTGAAAATTGTGCTTTTTTACATATTGAAAGAGAATATATTTTAATCACTTCCATTTCACTAGAAAATTTTTTGAAAAATTTGAAAAATTTCGTGAATACGAGTGAAAATTCAAAATCATATTTAAAAATACAATAATAACCTTTTTCACATCAAGGTGAGTGATTATATTCTAAGCTATGTGACGATTCTGCGTATTTTATTATAA